GCCCGGCAGGGCCACGGAGCATCCTCCTAACCCCGCTCGCCGGCCTCTTCCAGCACGACGTTGATGCGGACTCGGTAAACATTGCAAAGCCTGAGCTGGAACGACTGTTTTACTGAAGCTACAGCTCCAGCCCGCTTCCACGCGGGATGCTCTCTTTGCCCTGGGAGGCAAGTTTCAGTCACATCACTGAATATGATCCTCAAACAAGTGAAACAGAAGAGCATTAATTAACCAAGCACTTAATGGCCAGGTAGTTAAAACCTTGGCTTGAGACAACGTGGGCGTCGCAAGGGAAGGATTTAATGGGGCACTCTGGGCTTGCTGCACCCAGGCGTGACGGGGTGCCCGAGACCTCGGTAGCCTGAAAGGCATTTCCAGAGCGGGACCAGTAAAACCAGGGAGGTTTGTGGCCACCGAGTCCAGCCACATATGACAAATTCCCTATTAATCAGAGCGTTATAAAAAGCACTGAACAGGACTGAGCTTGTTGGCACGGCCGAGCTCCGGGCGCATGGGGAACGGGTGTGTTTTGTTACTCCGGCTCCTTGCAGCCCCAGCATCACCAGTCACCGCCAGGGCCCTGGGTTTAACCACAGGGAGCGTGGTGAGATACTGCAGTTTCACCCAGTGACTCACGCCACTTTGCCTTCGCGCTTGCTTCATCACTCCGCATGTTTTGCGTGCAAACGTGGTGACTGGGCTGGAGGTGCTGGGGCTCCCGGGCGCGCTGCTGCGGCTCCCAAAAAAACTCCCGAAGCATTGCTGCGTTTGCTGCCGCTGCAGCAAGCAGGGTGGTTAAGTCAGGGCCGGTCACTTTACTACCTGCAGCTGGGAAGACACTGCAAAATGCACCTTGATAAACTGGTAATAAGCCCTTATTCTTAACAGTGTTTGACACTGTATATGAAGCACGGCGTGTGCCCTCAAAGTACATTAAAACGCCTGTTTTTGCGGAGGAGTGCTGCAGCTGCGCACCGTAACCCTCTTCCTCGCCGGGAGGCCGCGGGGGCTGCAGGGCCTGCACCGAGCGGGGAGGGGGGGACAGGGTGGGTGCAATCACAGCTTTAAAGAAGGCCGTTTGCTCCCTGCTTATTTCGCTTGGCGGTTTCACGGGGCGAAGGGCCGCAGGCAACGGTTTTGCCCCCGTGCGCCGACAGTGCGCAGCGTCCGTTGGGGCCCGCGTTGGCCCAGGACGTGGCGGAAGGGCCCGCGCGGGGTCGCGGTGCCCGGCCAGCCCATGCACGTGGAGCTGCTTCCTTCCCGGGCCTCGCGCCTGCCAAGCCGCAGCTCTGAAAAGGAGAAAAG